CCCAACCCCAGGCAGCTCTTATAGTATGGTTTGTTCATTTATTTCTTTATAGCATTCAGCACAATGTGAAATTAAGTTCATTAATGACTTACTTACTTTAGCCTCATCCCCTGGGATGAGGCTGTAAGTATGTAGAAAGCAGAGTCTTTGTTTTGACCCTGTTAGATACTCTCATCAACTATCACAGCATCTAGCACTGATTCAATACAAAATATATATTTGCTGAATAAGTGAATGAATGAAATGAAGAATTTGGCAATGACTGGAGTGCTTTGCCTTTGTGTATTTTCTTGAATAGAAAGATGGTAAATTATAAAACATTTAGAAGTTCCTCTAGAACTTTGGTGGGAAAAGTTTACATATGGCAGAGATGAGGAAGTTATATTAGGAATTTAGTTAGGGCCAAATCCTGGAGGTTTTGAATGTCATAGTACATAGTTTCTGGAATCTCTTTTGTGGTCAATGGATAGCTACTGAAGGTTTCTAAATAGTCAATGCGTACTTTTGAAATGCTTCTTTATTACTAGCTATGGAAAACCATTAGTGAGTCAAAAGAGTTTCATTCACTCACCAGTGGACAGAGTAACTTCTGAATGTCAGCAGGGCATTGATTTAATCAGCATTCATTTCTTTTTCCGTACAGAATGACTGCCACGTACAGTCATGCTTCTGGGCTGGCAGGAGAAAATGTTCACTTCACAGCCTGAGTTGAAATGGCCCAGTGTGTCCTGAATGCATTTCTGGCCAGAATTTCTCATATCTCAGTGGGGCGGTCGGCTCCCTGAAAAGTACCATCTTGTTGTCAGATCATTCCCCTTTCCTCAGTTGCTCTTTATTCTGCAGGGTTTTTTTTTCTTCCTAATGTATAGAGTTACCCTCTCCTGTGGCTTATTTTATTTTGGTCTTAAAGGAGGTCCAAAGTGGAGCCTTTAAGGGCAGTTTGCGTTTTCTTTGTTTCAACGATCATGCCTTAGTTGAAACCTAGTACTTACAAGGCCTTATAATAATCTCCATCCCAAAATACAGCGTTATATGCAGCACACACATATTCACTTGGACTTTTCCTACCATTTCAGATGTGTATATCTAATTTCTAAAATTGAGTACAAAGATATCAAGCTTCCAGTTAAAATAATGACTTGTTTTATAGACTTTGGAAGCCAGTTCCAGTTTCCTGAACTGGTTCACAATGATTTAAAAGTCATGGCCAGTTCATGAATAAGTTTTATGGTTTAACCTTAAGTTATCAAGTCTTTTTAAAAGTTTTCTTTTAGGGGCGCCCGGGTGGCTCAGTCAGTTGAGCGTCTGACTTTGGCCCAGGTCATGATCTCACAGTTCGTGAGTTCGTGAGTTCAAGCCCTGCGTCGGGCTCTGTGCTGACAGCTCAGAGCCTGGAGCCTGCTTCAGATTCTGTGTCTCCCTCTCTCTCTGCCCCATCCCCATTCATGCTCTGTCTCAAAAATAAATTTTTTTAATGTTTTACTTATTTTTGAGACAGAGAGAGACAGAGCGTGAGCAGGGGAGGGGCAGAGAGAGCGAGACACGGAATCTGAAGCAGGCTCCAGGCTCTGAGCTGTCAGCACAGAGCCCAATGAGGGGCTCGAACTCACGGACCACAAGATCATGACCTGAGCTGAAGTCGGATGCTCAACCGACTGAGCCACCCAGGCATCCCAGATCTTCTTAATATTTGTATTGGTGAAGATGGTAATCTTCACCATCTTCATTGGTATAAGCTCACGACTGGCTTATAAATGGGGAAAGCATCAAATAGGAAAAAACAACAACAACAATGTGGCAAAATTTAAGAAAAAGAACCAATTTGTCAACATCAGTTTTTGAGAGCTACTGAATCATATTCAGTGTTGTTAATCAGTATTGAAGCTCTCAGTGTGAATGATGACTTCAGAAATGTTATTAAACTGACATCCTTTTAATACAGTAGAGCTTAGGAAGCACACTCACATGTAATACACTTTTTTATGTGTGTGTAAAAGATTGACTTGTTAGAAGTTCTTTTTTTCCTCTTTTTTTTTTTAGACATATCATAGACATCCTCTATATGTAAAGTAGGTGGAAAACAAACAAACAAAAAGAAGTCATATGACCCCTATTCTCAAAGAGCTCTACCAGAAAAAAACGAATATACTCAGGTAGGCGCAAAGCACAGAAGAGTCTGATAAGTTCTTGTAGAGGAATAGGGATAAGATGATATTGTTGTACTTGCCTGTTGCTGGAATGTTGAGAAAGGATCTCTTAGAGAAGACAGGATTTAGGCTTGGCCTTATGGGATTTGTTAGATTTCAGTAAGAAAAGACCAAGGACGAAGACTCTCTAAGTCAGTGGAATAGCCTGAGCCGAAGATGAAGGTAGGAAAGTAAAAATCATAAATATTTATTTATGTTCTGTCAACTTTAATGGCCTGTGCTATATAGAATCAGAGTGTGTCAGTGCTAATCTGTTTTGTTCATAATTTATAGTTTGGCTCTTGACTAAAGACAGTTTCCACAAACCACGAAGACCTTACTATATTCTCGTAAATTATGTGTCCATGGGAGCTATAGATTATACCATCATTATTGAATATATATTTATATCTTTGAAACAGATCATCTATAAATTGTATTTTTGTTTATTTTTTTTAATTTTTGTTTTAAAATATGTATTTTTGTTTTAAATTTATTTATTTAAATTCAAGTTACTTAACATACAGTGTTGTATTGGTTTCAGGAGTCGAACCCAGGGATTCATCACTTATATATAACACCCAGTGCTCATTCCAACCAGTGCCCTCCTTAATCACATCACCCATCTAGCCCATCCCGCCACTCACCTCCCCTCCAGCAACTCTCAGTTTGTTCTCTGTATTTAAGAGTCTGTTATGGTTTGCCTCCCTCTCTGTTATTGGTTTGTTTGTTTTTCTTTTTTTT